TCATGATGGCCGTTTCATAATTGCGGTCACGTTTGTCGTCTGGATGATTAAAAAACCTTGCCAGCCTCATCCCATATTCCCGTGAGTATTCTTTCTTTTTATTCTGAAGGCTTTTATTGGTCCAAATTATTTTTCTCCCATACTGCAACTAAGAAAAATTCTGTTATTTTAGAATTTCATTCTGTGTTTCGAATTTTCTGTCACGGTTGTATTGATTTTCCTGATTGGGTTTGCCAACCCCACTCCTAATCTTCTTCTTTTCCTGACTTAGGGCCGGTTAGTAAACTAGGCGATATAAAATGCCGAATAATTCCATATTAGTTTGTTTATTAGATGTATCACACAATGGAGAGACAGTATTATTTACTGGATGACGTTTCGAACACAATTTATTGTTCATAATCATATCAACTGCAATCACACGACTTCGAAACTTGAGTTTTATAGTTTTCTTTGTCCTCTCCCATTTGTCGTAGGGGTAGTAGAATTTTCCAGATGTCCACCTGGACATGTGTTGAATCATTCCTATTACACGCGTTTGCAGTTGATTCGATAAACAAAGTTTCTGTTATCAATCTCTCTCTATCCATTCTGTCACATTAGATTTTAAAAATGTTAATCACGCTCTCTTTCTGTATGCATAAGTCTGGTTTAAATCGTTTGATTGCGATCGCTTCGGCAAATCTTAGTAAATTTGCTGTCCTTTGTCTATTTAATTAACCTCTCACTCCCTTGGTAACTGAATTTTGTTTTTGATTAGTCATCAGTGATCTCAACTCACTGAGCAAATCTCAGTCTTATAAACTTTAATTGCTTTTGTTTTTTGGAGTTGCCATGTGAACCTACAAGCTAACACTGTTTCTGTTAATCAATTTTTCTATTTTCTGTCTTACCCCTACCCGTCTTTTCAACTCTGAAATTGTATAAATTGATGATGATAACTTAGACTAAAAATTGTAATGCTTTCATTCTTTTTTTGGATGCGTCAATTTTATCTCTTCTCTACTACTAATCAAACATTAAAGTATGTTATTATCATTTATATAACCATTGTAATTTCAGGTAGTCTGCAGCTGATGAGAACCTGTGAAATAGAATGATATCATTTTATACTGCAAATTTCGTCTTCCTTTCTTTATCGAAATTTATCAAGGGAACCAGTTGTATGAAATACTCAATGCGTTTGTTAAATTCACATACTTTGAGTCAAAGTCTGTGTTCACAAAACCACGGTTTGTTCCATCTTACTCTGGGACTGTGAGACATAAACGTCGAAACCTAAAGATTTGATGAGTGTATTAGTTTTGCCGTTCATGACTTAATTTAACGTTTAGTGTTCAGTAGAGCTATGTGGCTAGCATGGATTGGGGTCCTTGAGATGCCAAGAATCACCCTTGCTAGACTTTTGATGGAATGATTGGAAATCATTCACACTGTTGAGGATATGTTCACAATTCATCATCATGCAGAGTGTGAAATTTCCCGTCGGTCTTCTTGTAAGACTCTCGTCCTGTTCATTTCCGTCAACCTGTCATCTCGTTGATCAATTAATTAATTCATTTTATATTTGAGGCGAAAGTAGAATAGATGTACTTCACTGTAGACCTCTAGATGGCAGATCATTAATTCTTGAATAATATTGAATCTTTCAGATGAATTCCGTTCTCGAGTGAAATTCCATGTGTGTGGGATCAAGTTGTGAATATGATAAATCCAGTTCACATCTGCATAGAATGTGGTGGTCCATGAATAATTAGCCAACATCTTTGCGTTCTAAGTGGTCCTTTAAACAACAACTGAAACAAATTAAGTAAACGCGAAAATACACACAATTATATACAGGCAAATAAATGAGATGGAGACAAAGTATACTCCCTATTTCACACACATGCTCATCAATTCCTTGTATTTCAAACGTCTAATTGAGGAATAAACCAGATGATATTCTTACGATTCTTGTGTATCATCGTTCACACTCTTGTATTCGTAGGTATTTTCTTTCATAAACTGGTTTCTTGGCAAATACAGTGCCATATAAAAAGGAGATGTTTATTTTTCTGCAACGCTTTCTGAATGAGACAAACACTGCAACTTGAATAGTTAAATGTGCTCATAATCTTCTATGAATTGACACGGAAGACCAGTGTGCTCGCTTTTCAAACTTTGCTACTTAGTATCAGTTTAAAAGCTATCACGTTAATCTGTGCAAGTTGTCATTCTATGATTTTTATATGACCACTTGTGTACGCCATAGGTTTGTCAGGTGAAATGACTGATGTCAATGTAGTTGCAGTACATAGGTGCTCTTTGAAACATTTACTCTTCAGTTTCCTCATTGAAACATTTGGCAGCAGTTACATCATTTGAAAACCGTCATCAGCTCCAGCTGATTTTAGAATGATATAATGTATTTGATTTGCATTAGAGGAGATATTGTAATCTTTTGTTTCTTGACAGTTTCAAAAAATACCACTCCTCAATATTTTCTCGGTTAGTCAACTTTACATTTCATTTGAGATAACTTGTGGCGGATAGAAGAGCAAACCACCAATATTAGGGAATCTGCTCATATCTCAGTGAAAACTCCGCACTCACATTGTTCGAGAAGCATTCATGTGATAAATATCGAGATTCGATCATTAGGAAGTTGTTTCCTGGACAGATGTAATCTGATCATTTTTATCAATGCACTAATACACTCAAAAGTTCCCAGTTTGTTGCGCAATTTTCGTGAGTCTTCCTATGTTTTCTTCACAAAATCTACATGATTGTTGATTGAATTTCTCTTGTCAACTCTCTGTATGGTAATTATTCTCACCCTTTAAGAACGAGTCCAAGGTAAACACTACAGAATTCTCTTGTCAAGTTTATCAAAAGAACTGAAATTCTGATGACGTCATACATAGATAGCAAGACTAGTAATCTTCCAATCATCCAGTCCAGTGATTGTGCAGTTTTATCAGGATGGCATGTAGAGTATAAACTGTCACTTTGGTTACAACTGGTGATCTTCGAAAAGGCGTATGAAATAGGAAATGTCAACATATACAACAGTTGCGAGAAGAGAATAGGATCACAGACAGATCGAGTGACCAACAGAGCTCGAGGTGAACTGAAAGCTATTGCCCAACAAAGTGGAATAGGCTCAGTCAGACAATCGACCATACACAAACGCAAATGAAAATCGTTCTAGTTGACATGAAGATTGAAAGTCTATCTGGTGGTGTTGATGTAAGCCCTTAAGGCAGTTTTGCATCACTCACATCAGTGTGTATTTCTATCTTATTCGGGATTGAGAAGTAATTGTCATTTACAAGGACTTAAAATTTCACTCTTCGTAAGAGGCAGGTGAGAAGAGAACAAGAGAACTACAACGAAATGATTGCGTGTCATGCATCTAAGGTGAGTTTCCTTCGTAATAGGATTAACAAAGTTACAATCTGAGGTCATTCAAGTACAATACAAGCAAACTACTCAGGTGAACCCCATAATCTACTGAATTGACCCTGATACGTGATGTTTGCTCTCAACAGGTCATCTACACAAACACATTTACGCATATATAAGCACGAGTGTGCGATTGAATTTCGTGTTGATTCAGCTGCTTGTGATAGTGGTTTCGAACGTCTGAGGACGTGTACACAGAGTGAGTCGATTAAGTGTGTGGATTTTGTGAGTAGACGATAGTCATTCTTACCAATCGCTTCTATTGTTGTTTCATTCGTATTCACATAGATACATCCATTATTTTTAACACATACACTTAGCATTCCAAATCATCTCTTATCTATATATTTTCATCCCAACAGAACCACAATGCGGCTTATTGTGTTGTTACTTCTGAGTTTGGTTTTCTATGAACATGTGTTGACCGAACCGTTACCCGTCAATTTGGATGTTCAAGGTAAGCGAAAATACATGTTTTTGTCCATGCGCTGTGCGATTTTGACAACCGTGCACTTGGGAGTGTTTACTCAGTGACTGACCACTTTTACGTAACGTAAATTTCTGAACATTTACGATTTTGAATTTGATAGGCACTACATTACTGTTATATTTTATCTTTGTATTTATATTAACTCATCTACGAATATATTCGATGAAAAAGGCGAGCATTTTCTTGTCATTACTTCCCACTGACTGACGTCTATCACTCACCCTTATCAAACGATATGAACACAAGTGTCGTTAGTTTCTTGTGCAGTGTGAATCTAATTTTGTCAGGTGTAATGGAGGCAGACTAGCATAATAGTTGTGCATCAATATAGGCAGTAATCTCACTTAACGTCTTTATGTATGGTTCAGAACATACTCATATCTAATTCTCTGACTATCGTCTCAATGAAAATTAATTGATCACAAGAAAATCGAAGTGTCTGTATCTAAAAGACGACCAACATCTTTAATTCAAGCAGGGAGTGCGGCACCATGATGATTGAAAAATCAGGTTACACAATAGCTGGCCCTTTGTACTTGACCTCATAGTCATGTATCTTATTAAACATTTATTAATTTACGCATTTGAATGTCTAGCAGGAATTTAATTTTTTCATCAGAAACAGCTTGGCGTATAAGTTAACTAACTCTCATGAAGCGAAACGGAGATTAAGTAGTGTGCCTGAGATGGAGTATGAAATATGACTGAATATGAAAACCTTTATTCAGCGAATAAATATACCTTAAGTCAGGGACATATTTTACATATAGGTGTCCGTTACCTTCGCCAAATATGTTTGGGATGAATTATTAGTAATACCTTTGTTGATCATGACTTTTCTCCATTACAGAACCACCCGTTGCGCAAGAAGTAGGTGACAAGGACAGCAAAATTGTGGGAAACGGTGTGACTGATGCTCCCTCTGTTACTGCTACCATTCCTTCAGATGATGCTGACAGCAGTAGTCAAGATGATCAAGAGAATTCAAACACAGATGGAAATAATGCCGGCAACAGTGAAACTCCGAATACCACAGACAGAATTAATGGGAGTGATTTGAATGCTACAAATGTGAATGCGATGAGTGAACTACTTCGTGGACGCATTTATGATGATGACAAACACCACAAGTATCATAAACGTTATCACCACATTCGTCGTCATCATGGCTATTACCCCAAACATCACAAGTATCATAAACGTTATCACCACATTCGTCGTCATCATGGCTATCACCGCAAATATCACAAGTATCATAAACGTTATCACCACATTCGTCGTCATCATGGCTATCACCGCAAATATCCCAAGTATCATAAACGTTATCACCACATTCGTCGTCATCATGGTTATTACCCCAAATATCCCAAGTATCATAAACGTTATCACCACATTCGTCGTCATCATGGCTATCACCGCAAATATCCCAAGTATCATAAACGTTATCACCACATTCGTCGTCATCATGGCTATCACCGCAAATATCCCAAGTATCATAAACGTTATCACCACATTCGTCGTCATCATGGCTATCACCGCAAATATCCCAAGTATCATAAACGTTATCACCACATTCGTCGTCATCATGGCTATCACCGCAAATATCCCAAGTATCATAAACGTTATCACCACATTCGTCGTCATCATGGCTATCACCGCAAATATCCCAAGTATCATAAACGTTATCACCACATTCGTCGTCACCATTACAACCGCCGTCACTACCGTCATTACGGAAGACGTCATGGTTATCGAAGCCACCATCGCAGTTATTATCGTCACTATGGTCGTCATAATGGTGGATATCGCCACCGATCACATTAACGTCGTTCGTCATATGGAAACAGACGTGGTTGATTCGGTCGATAGTGAAATATCTATGACGAAAATGAAGCGTGTTTGTGTATTCAGTGACGTGAAATATCTCCCCCTAGTGTTCTCTTAGTTGCAATTATACCTATTAGTGTTCTTCATCATGATTTATAATTAGTTGTATTGTAGTGTTATTTCCCAAATATATGTTGTGCTCTTTCAACTTCTTCTGTGTGCTTTGTTGATTTGGTTTATATTGTCTCTGTAAGCAGTTGCTCTGATTTTGTATATGAATTCGGCGTTACCTGGCTTATGCACCTAATACAGTTGTCAAGGAATATGAACATTGAACGTTGGTTCATTGACCTTGGTCACCATTGGCGGGCGACTCGAAGGCGCGAATGGTCTGATCGTGTGCTAGTCTGAAGACGGCAGAAGAATACGAATAAAAGTACTTTATAATTTTATTTGTCCAAAACATTTGCTTATAGACTTGTATTCATCTTTGCTTTAATTGCCAAACAATATAACTTCATTCAAAGAATACTGGTGTTTTGGAGTTAAATTCGAGAAAATACATAGTCATTATCGGTTCAAAGCGTCTTCGTTACAATAGGAACTTAGGGCTAAGTTCCTTGACAACAATTTTTCATGAAGTGTTATAATAATTTAATAATAATATGAAATACAACAAAATGCTTGTGTATGTAATCATAGTTAAGCATCAAGCGACAGGACGGGTTATGCGTTTTATAAAATAGTTTATGGAATAGATTGATTTTGGAAAGAATTGTGTATAATTTCATAGGTTTGTAGGTAATCAGAAGACTGCTTTAAAAGATGAGCATTCGGATAAGACAGCACTGCAAACCAATAGGTGATAAATACCATAAGACGTGATATGACTCAGAGAGGAAAGAATCATGACAACTTGGGTAATAATAAGGGATGGATACACAAAGTGAAGAAACTAAAAATGAAATGATGCTCAAGGCTTCATCAGTGCAAATAAGTAGTACTTGCCTTGTTGAAACAGCTTCAGTGATTCAAAAACAACATAGAATATAAATCAGTATTTAAGATGGAAAACAAGTGTCCTGGTGAATGAAATTTACATCATTCAACTACGTTTAACTCTACTATGAACAGGATTAGGCATAAAATCTAGAATAAATACTGAATCGATGGAAATTATTTCTCAATAGTGAACGTCATCAAGCATAAATCTATTCGAAACATGGCTTTTAAGTAATGTTGATCACTTTGTGTTTGCTCTTCACAATGGAATTGCAAGCAAAACACGTCTGTGTTGAATTACAGGCTGATATGACGGTGAAATATGATTCTGGACAAAGTTATCACATGATATTTGTTAAATACTAAGTATTTTGACCCAATGTCTCAATAAATTTGTAGACATCACAAATCCTTCGACCAATTTCTAGAATGTCCATCTGGATTAATTCACATCTTTCTGTTTTCTGAGCCTGTGTTTATAAGACCGTCGTCTGAGACTATGTCAGAAGTGTGTCATATCAATTTTGTAGTCAATTTCGTAAAAACGTGTTCGTTAGATTGTCTAAATATGGCTTATTTGAATGGAAGAAAGTAGAGTATTCGAATTAAGACGAATATATATATATATACATATCACTCAGTCATAAACACATGCAACTGGACCATCACTTTTCAAAATGTCAATAGCATTTCCAACATTCTGTTCTAGAATAAATTGTATATACCTACACAAACACTTCGGTTCAAAGTACTGCAGTCAGATACATGAAGATCAGTGACGACATGTGTAGGAGAAAGCTAGAGGGCAGATAATTTATTTCCTTTATCACTTATTATTCGGTCTTATTGAAGAATATGTGAAAGTGACCAGAGAAGACCAAGGTATATTCCTTCGATTGGTTTTTAAAAAGCTTGGAAATGACTCCATCATTCAGCAGCTGTATGACAGTACCATATGTGAGGGGATTGACGACGAAATCTAAGCCAAGCCTTTGAAATGAACACAGTAACAAGACAAGGCTGCCTATTATCACCAATGATATTCCTAATTGTGGTGGACTGGATTATGCATCAGACCGTGGGTATCAAGAGGAGAAGAATACGCTAGACTAATAAGAAAACTGCAGAAGATCTGGAATTCGGAGCCAATTTGTCTCTAATGTCACATAAATTTGAGGACTTACAGGCAATAACCAATAAACTGGCAGGAGAGGCAAGTAGCAAAGATGGGATTTGAAGTGAACATAGAGTAGACGGAGGTGTTAACGATTACCAACCAACTTCAACAGGCATTCGTCGCTGCCAATGGAAGAAATTTGAAAGACGTCACTTTCTTCACTTATCTCGGCGGTATCATTTCAACTACAGGTTGCGAGGATGGAGTTGTCGAATCCAGTCAGAATAAGAATGACAAGACAGACCATAACAGAAAAGTTGCATAGAAAATGCCTTTTGAACGATTTAATTACAACATTCATACTTATTTGGAGGTTACAACCAACTTTGCGTTTATAATCCGTTTTTCTCATTGACTGCATGCCATTATTTTGACATTCGTTTATCCCATGATGATTTGATCCTTGCTATTTGTGTTTCTCCTTGTTTAATCTCTAATTTTAATGCTTGAATGTGCTTACACTGACAATGTGCGACTTTGTTTGAGTGAATTTGGACTGTCCACGAGAAGCGTTGGTGTGTGATTTTTGCAGAAAGAGTTTTTGATCCCACCTTTTCTGGAATAATATTCTTGATTCTAAGTACACTTTATATACTTAGAAAGGAATTTAGAGCAATATTTAGATGATTTTGAGTCTTCGATGTTATAAGTGTGTAATAGAACCATAGATTCCAGGAAGACATAATCGTCTTTATGCTGTCTTTGGAGGCTTTTGTGGTTGTGTTTGTCGCTAGGATATTTTTCCAGCTGTACAGTAGAACACAGAGATCGGATTTCTGCGTTTAGACCGTAACGTGTCAGTCTTGGTAGCTACACAGACCTTTATCAGTCTGAAATCAGGGTGAAAATCTTCTGGACTTAGCATAAAGAGGGAAAGCCGTGTTTTCAACACGAATGTTTGTTCACTTCTTCTACATGAAAGTTCATGAAGACATCTGGAACAGGCTGCAGACTTTTATCATCAGCTGCCTTCATTCCATACCGAATATCAGATGTTCAGAAAGATTTAGGCACAAGAAACTCTTGGAACGAATTATTGAAGGACCTATTGCTCATTAAATATGCCAAAGAAAATAAATATGGATCGGACACACGCTATGGAGACTGTTAGGTGACATATTGCACTAGACAATCACTAGAGTGGGAACCAAACGGGAAACTACGAGTTGGGTGTCCGAGTGTGACATGGACGAGAGGAGGAGGAGGTAGTGAGGGACTATCGGTAATGGTGGAGCCAACTGAAAAGGATTGCAGATTACAGGACCAAATGGAGATGTACTGCAGAAGCCCAGCGTTCTACTCAGAATCCAAGTGAATGATAATAATAAACTAAGCAATTCATTTCTCTTTGGAAGTCAAAATGTTCTGATTGAAAAGACAACTCTCATACAACAAACCAAATGTTTGTGAACCTATTTGTTTAACTACCTTATTCTAGTTTGGCACTATGTGACGATGGAAATGCGAATTCATTCATCTTTTCCTCAGCCAACACTTAAGTAATGTGATCTTTATAGTTGCAATAATGCTGCAAACTATGAATGTTGTGCTGTTTACTAGCAATCGAAACAGGAACAAACAGGCAAAGTACTGCCTCAACACTCAACAGTATTGAAGTTATGGACATGAGCATGGATTACTCAGGACCTAGCCGATTTCACACATAACACTTATTAAATAATTAGGCTTAAAATATCTTCTACAATATTTGTGGCGAACATAAATTTGACTATTGTATAACTTTTGTGAAACATTAAAAATGCTCTGTCCCATCAGCACATTTTTTTCATTTCCTGTCTGAATTAAGCCTAATTTCCAATCAAAGTCCTACAGAAGATAAATCATTAGCTCAAACAGTTCAGTCGTTATGCCTCTGAACGCAGTTCTGAATGAACCGGATTTGAATTTCGGGAAGAGTGTAAGTCCATTGAAGATTGCAGATACTTCATTGCTGATAAGTCTCAACAACCACGAAATCCGCCTCTAAGGTCACCTGCCGATTATTTCTGACTATCTAATAACAACAGTTCCGAGTACATCATGACTAGCCATCTAACATGGTGGCCACATTCTATACTTGACTGATAGAAGTCAGTCTGCACCAAACGATGAACTAGACTCATGGAATTATTCACTAGCCAGTATCTAACACATGTTTATCTGCTTTATACATTTCCCCTGAAATATAATTCGCTACTTCGGCTAGAACTTAATGATCACTGAATTCTAGCTTTGTCAGCTCACTAGACAGAGCTGCCCTCAACCAATGTCTTCAATTAGGAATCACTTCATTTTGACATGATACGCCTCACTGGTTACACTAAACTACATATTCATAACGTTTCTGTAATTTGGACCACTACACATTAGGAAACCACTGTTCCGTAATAATTCATATTTTGGACTGATTCAATTGACCTTTCAAGCTGCACTGTTTATGAATACAATTCCTCAGTTACTCTGACATAACAGGTAAAAAAAGCACATATGTTTTATGTCTGTGACGGAAGTTAGCTCGATATGCAAGACAAATCATATTCTGAATAATATTTAATAACCTTTTGCATATTAAAGACAGTATTTAAAGTGGATTCCTAAGAGTTTTAATGAGACATAATCGACGGTGGAGTAGATGAAGTCGACAGTGAGAACTGTAACTTATTAGTGACGTGGTGTACTGTTAGCTTTATAAAGTTCATTTCTGATTTGAGGTGAACTCCACTGAGTGTATATAACTAAATAATTCAATACATAAATATGACCTCCGCTGAACAAAATAAAACCCCTCACAGTAAAATTGTGAAACGGTGACAGACAAATTACAGAAAAAA